CCTCTTTCCTTGCCGCCGCTCCCCGCCTCGCCCTTGACTACGCCGAAGTTCGCCACTGTCGCTAACTGACTTGCCCTCAAGTTCGCCATCAACGTTGTCGGGATGCCATCAATCCGGATGCTTGTCAAGAAAAAGCTACAGGTCTTCAACAACTTAGACTAATATATATCGCATCATATTCTAGCCCGTACTATGTTAGTTCTAGCTAGTTCTAGCTCTAATTCATCTTAGTTCTAGGTTTTTGGGCCCTCAAGTTAGTTCTAACCCGCACCTTCTTAGTTCTAGCTCGTACCATGCTAGTTCTAGCCCGCACTATGTTAATTCTAGCATGGAGAATCTACTCCGACCAATTCATTGTCAAATAAACGCAATCAAATGGAGAATCTATTCCAACCAATTCATTGCCCACGAGCCCAAGTCCAAAAAAGAGGAATTCAAAGGTTTAGATGCAAGCTTAAATAATGTTTTGATTAATTACCATCAGAATCAACATCACTTTGTTCTCCTGAATATTGAAAAAGCCAAAAAAAACATTTGTTGTCGTGAAAGTTGATGATGGGCACGATCGACATGTGATGCGATATATGTTAGTCTAAGTTGTTGAAGACCTGTAGCTTTTTCTTGGCAAGCATCTGGGTTGATGGCATCCCGATAACGTTGATGGCGAACTCGAGGGCAAGGCAGTTAGCAACAGTGGAGAACTACGGCGTAGTCAAGGGCGAGACGGGGAGCAACGGCGACGAGGCAGGACGGAGGAGAGGAGGGGAAGTGGTTGGGCACTCGAGGGCCTAACTCGCGAGCTAGGGCGCGGATCTGGAGCCCGACGTCATCGTGAAGGGCGTAGTCGCGGGCAGGAATGAGGCTTGAGAGAGAGAGGAGAGAGGAGATGAGAGAGGGGAGATGAGAGCCCGACGTCGTCGTGAGGGGCGTAGTCACGGATAGGAATGTGGCTTGAGAGAGAGAGGAGAGAGAGAGCTGGTTTGAGGGATTGAGGAGATAGGATAATGATAATTTGGGGATTTTAGCTTAGCTGGTATGTAATAATTGCTAAAAAGGGACTGCAGTACAAAGTGTCACACTTCAAGGGGCTGATCCATATGGGAAAAACTATGAGGAACCTCGTCACATGAAGTTTTCGCTTTTGGGGCCTGGATACATTTTTTCCTAAATAATATGATAAAGAAGAGAGCGAAAGCTCTCCTAACAAAAAACACAAGTGAGTATAAACAAAAATAGAAGGATATGTGGAATTCTCCCCCTATCAAAAAGCCATATAGAAAATATGTAATGATAAGCATGACAAATAAATATGAGTATAAGCATGGATATAGAATACTCTAAACACAACTCACATTAAGAAGACCAAGTGACCACATATATGTATATTTAAGAAAAGAGTCACAAGAGTCTTAACCATAGATATATATATCTATGGGATATATATCAAAAAAAAAAAAAAACACAAAAATCCCAAAAATAAAAATCAAAGTTTTTTTAAAACAAAAATCAAGAATCAATAAATCCAAAAGGAAATTCATAAGTTATCAAACCATAAATTATGATTTATGATAGATAAATACAATATTATGAGAATGATGTCTCAATACATAAAAACAAAGTAATATATAGTTTCATATATGAAAACTCATGAAAGACAAAAAGTTAGTTCACGAAGGAAATTTCGTGAATCCATGAATGCCAATAAATGATACCAAAATATAAAATATTGTTTAAATGAAGTTCATGGAAAAGCATAAAATATTATTTTAATAAAAGATAAAATGATTGAGCAAATACATGATTTAAGTGACAAACATGCTCAAATCACAGGAAAAAAATCTCTAAGCAAAGAGGTTAGGCAAAGATGTCCACTAAAAAGAATATT